GAAGGAATCTGATTGGTTGGTGAGGGTTAGGGACATAGTACACTTAGCACTAGGTCTGAAATTTGTGTTTGCCGCTCAGGGAAGGAAAAGCTTTATTTGTATCTGTATTAAAATCATAAATGCTAACATAACCGAGGTAGGAGACGTAATGAGGTGGAGGAGATGGTCCTGGTCTGTTTTCTTGTAGACATTGGCTGTTCATATTAAGAGTCCATAGAATACTGTATTTAGAGGGAATTTTAGTTTATACCATTTACATTTTTAATTTACATGTAAGCAAGACAAGCTTTAGACAAATAATGTTATCTATGTCACTTAAATGAACCTTGTGGAAGTGAGGCGCTGAACCCAGAGCTGCAGCTGATCAGTAGACTCTGATTCAGCCCGTTGGCCTAGGTTTGGCAGCTACCCACAAAACGAGGTCCTCCATGCAGGGCCAGCGTTAGACTAATTTGCGCCCTATGCAAGACCAGCTACGTGCACCCCCCAAGCCCCCCTCCTGCCGCGCAACCCCCAATCTCCCCGCACGGCCCCATTCTCCCGCCGGCTGCTTCCGTGGGCAATCATTACACTGATTGGCTGACTTGGTGACGAGGGAGCATGGAGCTTGGCTTCCCGGCCAATCGGGGAGCCAGGCGCCGTGTAATGACTCGCCGCCTGGCTTCCTGATTGGTCGAGAAGCTGGCCAATCAGGAAGCCAGGCGGTGAGTCATTACTCGCCCCCCGGCTTCCTGATTGGCCAGAAATCTGGCTCGATGCTTCCTCGTCACCTGGCTTCCCGGCTAATTGAGTCATTATACAGTGCCTGGCTTCCCTGCTAACTGGGAAGCCGGGTGATGAGTCTTTACACACCACCCGGCTAATCAGAAAGCCAGGTGGCGAGTTATTACACACCACCTGGCTTCCTTAATGGGACTTCCGGTATCGGTATTCGATATATCAATAATATCGGTAATCGTACTCGATACTGAATATACAGTATCGGTGCATCCCTAGTAATAATATATGTATATATGGAAAAGCATGCATGTAAATATTAGACATGTGCACGGCAAAAAAAATTGTTTTCTGACGAAACAAATGAATATGAAAAACGTTTCCATTCGTTTCATCAAAGAAAACGAACGTTTCTGATATTTCAGATTCGGGGGCAACGAGCCTCCGAATCCGAAACTGCACACTGAAGATGCAGAAGGAGCGTCAGCCATGTCGGCCACACCAAGATGGCGGCGCCCGAACATATGGGTGCCTCCATCTTGGTGTATACCAAGATACCCTCAAAGATGGCGGCGCGCCTGCGCAGAACACATTTATATATGTTCAAATATAGTTTTAGAATATTGGGGCATATAATAAATTCATGATTTCGGATTCAGACGAACCGCCGAATCAACTAAATTTCGTTGATTTGCAGGTTCGTCCGAATCCGAATGCACAGTCTAGTAAATATGTAATTAAAGAAAGTGCAAAAAGAACCCATCAAGAATACACTATGAGGTTCATAAAACTTCTGCCAGACGCATAGCTAGGCGGATGCTGTTTGCACAGCACTAGCTCCCTTAGATGGTGTTGATGAATATAGAAATGTCTATACTCGTCAGCGCCATCTAGGGACACTAATGCTGTGTGCACAGCCCCTGCCCCGTGTATTTATAAATTAGCTCCTATGCTTTTCTTTTGAGGCCCATGAGGGCATCAGGGGGTTATGTTAGATTATGTTGGAAGACAGTGCAGACAATATTATGCACTGCTGTTTATCATTATACATGTGTATATATCAAGGTTAGGCAATCCTGGCACTCGTGTGCCACAACACTACACTCTTGTTCCACAACAGCAGGAGTTCTGAAGTTGCCTACCCCTGGTATATATAATATAATCATGAAGGGTTGATATAAAATATGAACACTTTGAAGCAGATCCATCATCTTGTCACCTTGTAATGTTAGCAGTGACATTGATGTTATCCTGGGTTATACACTGCGCGCAGATCAAAATCTTGCGGAATGACAATATTATGTAGAACAGAAGCTGCACAAGAATATAGAGTGTTTATCATAGCTCATTCCTTCTATGTACATGCATTTGATGTAGACAGAAGGAACTGGTATATACATGGTTAATGGAAAGCTAGAGCATTGGCGGATGGGTATAGGGATGCATATGAAAAGTGGAACAGGAGATAAAAAATAATTAGTCTTATTGAATATTTAATAGAAATGTGTGACCCTCCTTAAGCAAGACCTTGGTATTGGATATTTATCGCTCCCCCCATGTATTAATATGCATTGACTTGCATTTTCAGTTGAGTTGCATTGCAGTTTTAACAGAATCCCTTCAATTGACTGGAATGGACCCATACAAGTTCAAGCAACAAAAATGTAGCACACAGAATGTTCTATTTCAGGGTAATGTAACTCACAGCTGGGAAAAGGCAAGGGCTCTACTGAAAACAATGGGTTTTCTCATATACCTGCATTGTGTCTGTGCTGCAAAGGGTAAAAAAATGCCTGACCAAGTATCTGGGGGGAAGAAGCCTTTAATGAATATATTTATACAGCACTAGTAATGGTCTGGTGTATCAGGCTTCCAAGACCCTGCCAGAGAAAGCTTCTATTGATTCAACCCTACCATTACGGGCAATGTGTTATTCATAGCCCGAAACGTCACAAATGGCATTATCTGCAAATGTGTTTTCCCATTATCATTTCCATCCCAGAATTCCCCATTTCCACGCTATGCAACAAATGTTCACTGCCTGTTGTGATCCTTTAAACCGTTCCCCTTTTTGTACCCTCATTTGGGTAAACTGTATCTTTCTTTTCACTATTTGTGCAGCTGCAATATATTGTATGTAACAGGAAAATCAATCATTGTTAATTTTTTTTTATTTTGTAGCTTCATTTGATTTCCCTGCAGTTGCTGGAGAACCTGAAATTCTATTTCTGCCCCAAAACTGTATTGAGCACAAGTGGGCAAACTCTGACCCTCCAGCTGTGGTGCAACTACAAATCCCATGATGCATCTGTCTCTGGACGTCATGCCTGTGGTTGTGAGAATCTTGCAATGACTCATGGAACCTGTTGTTCCACAACAGCTAGATGGCCAGAGTTTGCCCACACCTGGTATAGAGTCTGGTTGTGGCTAATTCTACAACATTGACCCAGGAAAAATATAAAGGAAAACATCTAGCTGGTAAGCTATTGAGCCAGCTATGCCACAAGCTAAATGCCCCCTCAAGGGCAACATGATCAGTGTACAGTGCCCTCCCTACATATAAATAATACATATGACCATTGTATCCCCTGTCCAGTGAGCATGCACATATTGCCCAGTGGTATATTATCATTGGACTGGGGATGAATGTTAGTTGGCACTAGTAACAAACTGATACTAATTTCAGTGAGGTGCACACAGCAGACATTTCTGTTTAATTAGAGTAATGGCAGGTATTTTGTGGTGCCTTTAAGGCCCCGTTCACACTAGGGTGTTTTTGTCACGCAGATTTTTCTGCACTGAACCGACTACATGAACAATCCCATACATTCTTATGGGGACCGTTCATGCAAGCGGACGAATCCATGCGATCTGAAACGCCTGCCGCACAAAATGCTCCCTGAGCTACTTTTTGATCAGTGCGTTTTCCATATAGATTTCAATTAATCAGCGCGTTTTGGGGAATTTTTCAGTGCATTTTAGCAAAAAATAAAAATGCCCTTTCAAAAATCGTGCTGAAACCGTGCTGAACCCCTGCCTCCCTGGTGTGAATGGGGCCTTAGACAGCACATTCCTTGACAGGTTTACTTTAAAGTCTAACTTAAGCCCAATATTTTTTTGGGGATAGAGTAGTGAAGAGTTAAAATTGCTGTCAGTTCCTTATGTCTGAATGTGACCCTATTGAAGAGATTTTCCCTCACTTCCTGTCCCTGTTACGCTCTTACAAGAAATAGGCGGCTATCACCTGGAGAGGAAGGCACAGACAACAATGAAAACAGTGTCAGGCATGCAGGCCTCTCTCCATTCTATTAGGGCTTATTCCCACGGATGCAGATCCAGGCGTATGAGCATACAGCATGAAATACGCCTGTATCTGCTCCGCCTGAGAGCCCCAGCTGGAAAACCTACACATTCAGGAACTTACGGCTATACGCATGCACATGTAGATGCTGGTACTTGTTTTTACAGCTACTTTCAGTGTATTTTGTCCATAGAATCCGTTAAGACACAAATATACAACAGCTGAGGCACTTGGTTGCCGAAGATACAAGAATATTTTCCCATTTACCCATACGCGTGTATCCTGACTGGAGGTGAAGTGAGTGAAAAGCTCTCTAATACTGACACAGATAGCAAAAAAAAAATACTGACAGAGGTTCTAATACTTCTCCACTCTATCCAAAACAAAGTTAGACCTACTGATATTGCAAAGCTCCAATTCTTGAATTATATGTTGGAACATCAGACTGTACTGACAGATACTGTATCTACGGTATATTTATTTTATTGTATAACACCTTTAAGGCAGCACCTGGTCTGGGATTAGCTGTGGCTGACACTGGAGCATTGAACATGTGACTGTGACACCCTCTATACAGCATGATGATCAAATAAAGCATAACAGTTGAAAAAATTGGCCGTGTACAGTATGGCCACAGTAAATGCCTCAGGCACAGCAGAAGTCACATGAGTCAACAAACTTTTCTCCTACTTTGACCTTTTGGAATCACAGAGGCGTCAGCGTGGGTCGCTGTCTATATAAATTCAGCATAGCCAATAAAGGGTTTCACTTTATTTTCCTTGCTGCTTAGTTCTGTCAGCAAGTTTCACAGTAGAGTGGTTTTTATTTATTAGATGCAATTACTTGATAGGATTAGCTCCAAAGGTTTTGTTTGATACTATTCAGCATTCACCTAGTCACTTGTCTTCCGTCACCAGATCATGACTTACACTTGACATTGCGCTATATCACCCATATATATCAAATCTGTATTCCATTCCAGAGTGACAGACTTCATATCAAAGGAGGGAAAATTGTGAACGATGATCAGTCATTCCTCGCAGACATATACATCGAAGATGGCTTAATAAAGTAAGTGAGAGGCAATGAATTACAATTTATTGTGTGATTCTAGTAAACAATATATTTTGTGAGATGTGTTCTTATGAAGGTGTACCTGTGTCCTACTGGTTGTATATAGAGCACTGCAGAAAGAAAAAACTGTGCTTAAGTGCAGGTACCTTGTGGTGTCTTCTGCTAAAGTCTAAATTAAGCTCTACCCTCTTCTGGTGCTTTCTGGCATTCAACAGTTGAACGATAGAGAATGGGGTTAGCACCAGGAAGAGTTGGAGCTTAAGCTTTACTTGGACACAAGGCACCACAATGTCCTGCACTTCAGCACTGTCAACAACATTTTTAGTCAAGCCATGGCCAGATTTGGTTAAATTTTAGTTAATGTTATCAGTGTCACTATTTTTCTACATACACAGCCTTGGCCTATGATCCAAGTGTAGTCCACAAGGACACAGGGATTGATTTAAAGGCTAACACAGATTGTACTGTTGTCACCTTAAACATGTTTAGGCCACATTAGGTTTCATTTCAAGCTAGCCAAATGTTCAATTGTGTAAGGAATGTACTACAAATGTATGAAAGCTCACTATTTCTAGCTAAAAGTTACATCATAGAAAATGTTCTGGTAAATAATGTTAAACAATAAGTTTCTATTAGCAAAAATGTAAATTTATTTTAAAATGAGACACCACTGTTAAATCAAGATTACTGCAGCTCTCTAGAAAGGTGGTGTGTCCAATGAAGGGTCCTGACCCACTGATGACCGATGTAGACCTTCATGGATGCATACTGTATGCTTCAGCAAAAAAAACCTGCAAAGGTGGGTTGTCAGATTTATAATCAGGAAGAATGCTGTAGATTGTGCACTCATGACAGTTATTTATTTATTTACCCTATTATTGGTAATTATATAGCATCAATGATTTACGAGGCATTTATATCAGTCCCTGTCCTTAAGGAGCTTACAGTCTAAGGTCCCTATCTCACATGCATAAATACAGGGCCAGTTTAGACAGGAGCCTATTAACCTTCCAGCATGTCTTTGGAGTGTGGGAGAAAACCATAGTACTCGGAGGAAACCCACACAAGCACAGTGAGGACATGGAAACTTGTTGCAGATAGTGTCCTGACTGGTATTTGAAATGTGGACTGCAAGGCAGCGGTGCTAACCACTACACAACTGTAAAACCACCAATGTCTCCAACAATGGGTACTAGTGATGTTACTTCTTCGGTCATGGTACGGTGCTTGGCTGCTTTACCTAAGCACTGTCACAGGGTGGCAGTTCACATTCCCCCTGCACCGAGAAGTGCCAGGCAGGGGTGTCACCCGGTGTAGTCGTTGGGCATGCATTATGACATCCATGGTGTGACGTCATCAAGCATGCATGGTGATGTACTTCACTGCTGGTGGCCTTCTTGGCGATGGATCCCAGGAAAGAAAAGATCTGGTTTGCCACCGGGTCCCCCCTCTCTCTCACCTGGTGCGGGCCAACCTTGTGATGACACTGTTGCCGGGTATTGTGGTTGGTTGCAATGGAGAAAGAAGCAGTGAGAGAGCAATGGAAAGGTGAGTTTAAGTAGGTCAATGGGGACGCCTTTGCAGAGACACTGTGCCTTGCACAGACAAGATCACTGTTTCTCTTGCTGGTAAAGTGTTTTTTTGGGGGGGGAGGGGAATCAACTTCTGAGCTTTGTGATTGTGCAGGCCAGATATTCTAAGGTCTTTCCACTGTAGGCTCCTTGCTCATATGTGAGAGCCAGGAATGAAATCTTCCATGGATTACTTAAAACTTTAACTGATTGCATTTTGTTTGATCCTTTGAAATGCTTCCTGAATATTCCTAATATTAGCCATTTGATGAATGATATAACTTGTTGTTCTCTAAAAATAAACTTTAAAACATTGTCTCATCCCTCTCATTGTATTGTTGTAGACAAATTGGGGAAAACCTGATTGTCCCTGGTGGTGTTAAGACCATTGATGCCCATGGCTTGCTGGTCATACCTGGAGGAATAGATGTCCACACAAGACTACAGATGCCTGTGATGGGAATGATCAGCGCAGATGACTTCTTCCAGGGAACTAAAGCCGCATTAGCAGGAGGCACTACGATGATCAGTGAGTAAACCAATGCAGGTCTTCAGCTTAAATCTTTAGTACTCGTAAGAATGAACTGATCGTCTCTCTTTTGATCTGTCAGACAAACCATCGAAAGAGATTTGTCATATCTGTTCGATAAGTGCAATAAAATACCTGTTGATACTGTCTGAATTCCAGTAAGCTCATAATTTTCTGTGCCTGTGCTGCACGTATCTGCCCCATGAGTTATCAGCCCTGCCCAGTTCAATTCTATGGACTCCAGAACTCCACCTTCTATGTTATGGCAATGATGCAAAGGGGAGGTGTTCTCTAGTCCACAGAAGTAACAGGACAGGCCTGAAAAACTGATGGGGCAGATAAGTGCAGGACATACTGATGGGGCAGATTAGTACACACATACTGATGGGGCAGAAAAACTGATGGGGCAGATAAGTGCAGCAAAGATCACTGGAAATTATGGCCACGCTGGAATTCTGGTAGGATCAGCAGGTATTTTTAGCATGTTTTTATATTTAGTACACTTCTTGTCCTAGGATGTTGCCCCTTCACAGATGCAGTACAATGAATGAGCATTGTCATCATTGGGCGGGAGTTGTGTTACTGTCAGGATCCCCAGGTGAAAATAAAGGAACATAGCTACGGGGATACCAGCTGTATGGCCGGTGTTTCTGTTTTGGTACTTGTAGGGAACAATCATGGGTTTTCTTTTTAATTATCACTCAGCATTGCATTAATTGTTACCTTCCCTGATTAGTAGAAGCTATTTTTTTTAGAGTGTAATAGACATTTTTAGCATGGCTGAATTAGGACATTTGAATGCTTACGGTTCTGAATCTGTTTGGTCTTTGTAATGCTGAGAAGGAAATATAGTGGCTACACATCTGTGTATCAGTATCTTCAAAGTGAGCAGTGTTAGGAAATTGAGCATAGTATAGTATATTATATTGTGCATGAGTCAAGGGCGAAATAAACGGACGTCACCAGCACACCAATAGTGTTGAAGTCCAAAGTGTTCGTTTATTGGAACATCATGTCACCAGACATGATGTTCCAATAAACGAACACTTTGGACTTCAACACTATTGGTGTGCTGGTGACATCCGATTATTTTGTACTGTTTGGCGGCACCATCCGCGGTCACTGCGAGCACCCCCCCTTATTTAATTTGGGGCTTCCCAGTAAGGAGTGCGGCAAGGTATTTCTACGTTTGAGTCAGGGGTGGACACACCGTTTATGTAGACTTTTTATCTGCACAAGCAAATCTGGTATTTAGGGGCTTATTTTAACAAAATATAGGTGGGGTGAGTGATGGGGGTCCCCTCCTGCTGTAATGCAGACATGGGCAGCTGCACCTCCAGGGCAGGTGAGAAGGAAGAGGAAATCTTCATGATGGCCTAATGATTCTCCCAGTCTGTCTTATTCAAGTGGTGTCAGGAACCTGCTTCACCTCCTGCCTGATTACTGTTAAGATATGCAGAATGCTTTTTCCATGCGTTTTCTGATGCCTTGTGTGCTGGAAGTAAAGGGGTATTTACTATATGACCACAGTTGCCTATTATGGATCATGAGAAAGTTCAAGACATCACAGAGTCTTCTCTTCATCTGTATCTATTTATACACAACTAAAAAGGGGTCTTTTTTAATAAATGTGTTACTTGGGTATATAATTAATTGTGAGGACCCAAAAATGGTTTATAGATGCGGGCCCTTAGCTGATCACATCTGCCACTGGCACAAATTGACCATTACAGTACATGGTGTATATCATGTCCATCTGCAAACTCTGTACACGGGTGTCCATAGAATTGTTGTAGACATTGGAGAAGTAACATTTTGAGTTTTATTTCAGTCGTTGATCCTTTCCTGTCTCTTTCAGTTGACCATGTCTTTCCTGAGGCTGGGATGAGCCTAACTGCGGCATATGACCAGTGGAGAGAGTGGGCTGATGGGAAAGTCTGCTGTGATTACTCATTACATGTGGACATCACACACTGGCATGAAAGCCTAAAAGAGGAAATGGAGGCTTTAGTAAAGGACAAGGGTGAGCACCTCTACCACACTTACCTTAATCTTGTTTAATCCGTAGTAGTCGTATTAATGCATTTGTTCTCTATATTGATGGATATGGAAAAGTCTGTCAATGACGGTATATGTCTAAGGCTGTTGTATGTGGCAAGTTATTACTTTGATTGTTCAGTAGGGATCCAGTGCTTTGCACTAAGCTCAACAGTCTTCCACATACATACCCAATATGGCAGACTCATCTCTTCACTCTGCACAGGATAGCATGGCTTCCTCTTCTGTCAGCAATGTACTGTACAAAGATGAAGCAATGCAGACATGTAGCATACATATGACTGACAACCATACAGTAACCTTTCCGACCCTGAGGAACCAGAGTCATTCTAAAAAGACTTATCACATTTCTCCAACTCTCTCCTTTTTTCAGGTGTGAATTCATTTCTTGTATTTATGGCTTACAAAGACACATACCAGTGTACGGATGCTGAGGTAAAGTAAAACACCTTATGCAGATGAAATAATGAGCAGCTAAATCCATTTGTATTTACTACTGTTGTAATTCTGCAGCTTAAATATTGACCTGCTAAGTCATACTTAGTATTTGTGTGCACTGCAGGGGGCGGGGCAGGACGTGTGACACACACACGCCTCCTGTGACTCACCTCCCCTCCCGCCTCCTGTTACTATGGACGCGGCCGGGAGAAGAGGTGAGTCACAGGACCCGCCCCCTCACTGTAAAGCCCGTCGGCAGTGTGGGGCCCCGCACCGGGACCCTGCACTGCCCCATATTGCAGGACCGGACCGCACTGAGACTGTGCGGCCCGGTACCATTTGATCCGCGGGGAACACTGTCATAAAGGACATTTTTATAAAAAAACAAAACGATATTTTCCTCAGGCAAACAGTCCACTGACAGAGAATTTGGATCAACAAGAGTCCATATTTCAGCATTCTTGGCTTCAGCTCTAGGTAGCCAAAGCACCTATTGTATGAAAGCTGAACACCAGGCAACTACTATATTCACAAGAGAGCTGTTTTACCCCCCAAAAATTCTCTTCCTTCATTGCTGAGATTTACACAGCTTTGCCAGCCCATAGTCCTGACTTTTTTCTTGAATTTAAGTAAAACAACTAGGTCTTGCCCCACCCCCAGTCTGTGGCTGGACAGGGAAAAACAAACAGTGCACTGATAAGCTCATATCAGTGTCAGTTGACTCTCTCCTCCTGTCAGCATTCTCCAGTCAGCAGATGAGTACTGCAGCACACCTGATTGGCTGCTTGTGCTACATCTTTTCCCAGACTGAGCACTGCTGTAGAGGGGATTGCAGGAGACTGATATCAATTAAAATTCAGGTGCTTACAGATGTTATTTTCAAAATGCACTTCACTTTGATCTTTGACATTTTATGATCCTAACCCTCCCATTTATACACTTGGTGTGTATATATATATA